ATGCATCGACTAGATAATCATTTGTTCGTGATGACATTTGTATAAGGCACGTGAAATCATAATATGAACGAAATTGATGTGCTTCTAAATCGATTGCTAATTCCCGTTGTAATTTAATATGATCCATCATTTTATTTAATTCGACTTTACAATCAACATAAACATATTTTGTATCATCTAGAGATTTCGGTACCTGCAGAAAAAAAATAACAGAAAAACATACAGATAGAACGTTCTAAATCAAGCACATATCCACTGTATTGTACCTGTGGTGTACGTAATTGTATTTGTTCATGTGTTAATTTGAATGCCTGGATTTCTCGATAATACGGATTTTGCAACCTGAAAGAAAGAGGCATTACAAAGATAAAAGAAAGATTCTTACAGTTTTCGTACAGTTCAGGATATTTTTTATGAACTTCATGTATTAAAATTTGTCCATATTGAATCTGTATGACAATAGTTGCACACGTAAAAAAATCTAAAAGTAAACAACGCATATAAAGAAAACGATGTTTATTTGTCAGCAACTTTATTTTTTGATTTACCTGATAAGGGACTAATAGCATTTGGTTTTAATTTTATCCTTGGTATAAATGGAATTGTGTCATTGTTATTCACTTTATCTGTAAAATTGAGCTGTGGTTTAATAACTTCTCTCTTTTTTTTGGATACATCATAAGAACGGCTGAATGCTAGAGAGTGCGATCGTTTGGTGTACATCTGAAAGAAGCAAATTAGGGCTAATCTTCAGAAATGCTGCCAAGAAGATGCTAGCAAGGAATACTGTCGAGCTCCACTAAACGATTCAGACATGAACAGCCCACCGAAAAATTTCAAAAAATTCTGCATTCGTCTGGTAAAAATTCATGTTTTTACATTCTACGCGAGATTCCTAATGGTTGATTCTTATGTAAGCATCTTACTAGAAACGTATAAGTCTCTTATCAGCATCTTATAAGAATATTACTAGTTTCTTATATAAGATTGTTTAAGATTTCCCGTCAACAGTCGTAGTTGCCTTATAAGAATCTGAGAAGATTTTCATACGAGTTTTATCGCAGCTTCGCTGAATGAAAATGGTATGGAGTAGGTAGTCGACTATGGGGAATCAGAAAAGAGGCATGAGCGACCTCTACGGTGAATCCTATTGGTCGAAAACTTCATTTCCGCTTGAATGGATGAAAATGATATGGGGTAGTTAGTCAACTATGCGGAATCAGTAAATGAGTTAAAATGCCTGTATGTATGTCCGCAGACCAGTACTAGCGACACACAAGTTAGTGGCGGTAACTTCATTGCCTGAAAATGATACCGAGTAGGTAGTCGACTATGGGGAATCAGAAAATGACTATGAGCGACCTATAGGATCGATTCTATTGGTCGAAATGTTTAACTCAACTTCGTTTTAATGAAAATGATATGCAATACGTCTTTGACTACGGGTAACAAGAACGAGGGTTTCCAATAGAAATCTAAAACAAAATATACTTGTACACTTTGCTTATGTGGGCAAAGTGTATGTTTACACTTTGTTTTTGCCACCAAAATCATGTTGACGATAGGCATCGCGAGAATCTTCATGTCGTAATTAATAATCAGCCCGCAGAGCATGGTAAAAGGGTTCAACCAACGTGGCGAGACGTCACATTAATTTTATGCATAGGGATAGTCATCCTATTACTGAGTTTTTTGATACTTCGTTTTGTTGTGGCAAACAAAATGAAAAACTATGGGCAATGCGAAGAATGATGATGACTCATCTCCAACAGCAGCAGCCGGTATATACAATACCGATACAATATTCACAAGAGCCAATTAGACAACTGATGATAAATGAACAAGTGAGACCAAAGCAAACGGCCACCCAATCGATTCGGAAGTACTATCGTTTTCAATGAATAATGGAATCGGTTGTTTTTCGAATAACTTTTTAACGAAAAACGATAGAGACCTGCGGTTTTCAGTTTCTGAAAATGGATCGATGGGGCTTTGAATCTACGCAAAAAGAATGGAAAATGCGGCATATTCAGGTGGCATACCACGCCCGGACATTTTGCAGAAGGTTTCACCACTGAAAAAGTTTCGAGTTTTCGATTCCAAGACGTTAAGTAGATAAGCCAGATTGAGATCTTTAATTTTAGAGCAATCTCAGGACTCCACCTTTCAAGGTTCGGGAGCTGGATAGGTTTTTCGGAGACCATACTATCCCGGTCCAGACACGGTCGGGAATCTCGGAAAGACTCGAAACATAGGTAATCGAGTGCGCTGAGCCTTGTGGCAACGTTTGTTTTCTCCTAAAAGTTGAATAAAAGTCGCCAGAGTCGTTTTTCTGAAAATCTGAGTTTTTGCTGCTCTATTTCCTTATCTCTTTTTGTGTGATTTCGATTAATCTCCAATACCTGCAAATCGGACATCCTAAATGAATAACATTTTATGAGATAAAAAAATATAGTGTTGCCTCCTCCCGTATCTGCTTATCCTATCGTTATCTCATATGCAATAGGTATGAGTGAACATCTTACCGTTGTAGCTGGATATGCTTTTGTTCTTGAGCTTAATGAGTATGCCCCAGCGGCTTATCTTATCGATTTTGATCTTCTCACACTTAATTTTACATTAATAAGTTATGTATCACTAATCAATGATGTAGCAGTTCCTATTAGTTCTGCTGTAACTTACACTTTACAATATGACATGGCTGTAGACATCAATGAACAGAATCAAATTCTGATTGGTATACCATTATTCGATACAGTAGTACTGCTGTCTACTAATTCGACCGATTTAATTATCCTTAAAACTATAAGTTGATATAACAGCTATATAGGTTTTGGTAAATCCGTAGCATGATAATACAACAGTAGCCAGTATTGTTTATTCTCTTGCAGATTCACCGTGGTCATGATCTACCGTGTATGTGTACAATACTGAATATTCTTTCACTTCGCCTATTTTTGCCTTTCCTAATAATCAACAAACCGTCGTTTCTTCTTGTTATTTATCTGTAAATCCAAGTTTTCTTCTCCTCCGTTCTTGGTCATCAAACATGCTTGTTTTGGACAGTACTGGTCGGATATTGATCATGCATCCCAGTCCACCCGGATACTATAGTGGCACCATTTTAAATCTTTTTGGCCTTGTAAGTATATATTCATCTGTCAGCTGCCCAGCAGGAACATTTAAGAATAGTTCAGGTATTGGACCGTGTACTGTTTGTCCACAAGAAAGAAAAAATACAGGTAATACAGGTATTCAATATGACTGGTGTCAAAAAACATCATTTTGTACACTAGGCCCAGTAAATTATGTCAATTATTCTATAATTGAAAATATTAATAATTCCCAAGCTTATCCAAAGTCACCTGATAATAGCATATTTGATGATGTTTTAATTCAAAATATGTTTAGGATAGGTAGTACTAGTCATTACAGTGTTGTAAGTCTTCTGTTGTGGACATCCATTATAATTGTTCTTTCTATTCTTATTCTCATTATTATGGGTGCATTAACATTCTTTCCTACCAAGGAAAAGCATCGAATATTGATTAAAAAAATATTTAAACAATTAGATCTTGTAGGTGAAGGTGAACTTTGGATTCGAGGCTTAATATCGTTTGGTATTATTGTCTTAGTTTCATTTGCTTACTGGTTTAGTAATTATTATTTGAAACAATATCCAATTGAAAAGTCAGGCGATTCAACATTTGCTTGTGATACTAGTATGCGTAATGCAAAAGGACGGGTATCGGTTTCTGCTGGAAAATGACCCAATATGATTTTGAGTGAAAATGATCGCGAATGCCTCCTATTTTACACCAGATACTTCTGACTTTCAAAAATTGCTCCTGATCTCCTTGAAAAAATTATTTCTTACCAGTTTGCGTCACCAGTTCAAAGGAAGGTCATTCACTTTGTTTCTCAAATCT